ATTATTAATGACGCGACCTTTTCTGTTGTTGCTACTTATTTATTGTTGTTAGTCACACGGTAATTTTAATTACCTATAAATAAATTTTAAATATGTTATTTCATTCATTAGATCGATAGTAGGATAAAATCTTTTATGTGAAAATATAATTATTATTGTTTTTCAATAATTCAAATCCTAAACCACTATTTGTTATTTCTTACATTTAAATTTAAAATCTCAAATCTCATTCGTTAATTTTACTTACTTGGCGAGTGATTTTTTTAATTGTAAATAAAATTCAAATATATTTTATCATGGGTTGAAATAATCTCTAGCTTTGTGTGCCAAATGATCTCGAAAAATGCTTCCTTTATTTAATATATTATATTAGATTAACGTTGGTTTAAGTGGCTTTTGCAAATAGTGTGAAGAGTTAAAATGAATTGGAACATTTATTTTAAAACAGAGGGAGTATATCAATTGACCAGTATTGCCTATTTGAGAGGAGATACATATTTTTGTAATCAATAAATAGACGAGGTTGAATTTCCTTATTTTTGTGCCAAAATCTTAGTATGAAAGACATTATTGCAAATAACGATGTGTACTATTTGTAGCCTTAGTAACTTGCAAAACTCTATAAAATGATGAAATTATATATACATATGAAAAGATAAAATAGTTAAGTGGTCAAATAATATGTAAAGAAGGTAGAGTTTCTTTGATTAAAAAATATCATCCTTTTGACATTTTTATAACATTTGACTTCACTATTTTGTTATTTTATTCTAGCAAGAATAATAAAATTCTTTTGAGGTACTTTTGTGACAATCATATATATTTAGGGGCCTATTGTCAATGTTACATGTCTCCAACTTGCACGGTCAAAAATAGTTGTAATTATATACCTAACTTGCATATATTGGAATATGGAAACATTCAAACATGAAGGAAAAGAATAAATACACAATAATACTTGTTTAAGTTAATCTAGCTAGCTGACATCAACTCAGATAGATCAACACTTATATCTTAGTCTTCTGTTGTTATATTAAGGACAACCTCCTATATATAACACATTAGCACATTACATATATTCGATTGATTGTCACAATAGAACTAGAATTTAAAAAATTAAGATCAGAAATCCCTTATTTAATTAGCCTATACCAAAAATTTTAGTGCACGTTTTCCTCTTACATCATATATGGACTAGCTAGCTTCTAGTCTATAAATGGTGAGCTAGCTACTTAGAAAGGTTTTACTCATATAATTCATATCCATGTTATACAATTAGATATCAAATAAAATAAATTACACCATTTATAAACGATTTTCGCTGATGTTATATTCGAAACAAATATAACAAGTTTAGAATTGTGACGTTGGTTGAAGATTAAAATTTAATATAATTATTTATAATGATTAAATTAATTATGAACTGCACATCAATCTTGTACATTTAAATATAAGTGCAATTAATAATGTGTTTCTTGCTCATTCCATCCGTTTCACTTATTTGTAAAATTTTAAATGAGAAAAAAATAATTAGGGTACATGATATACACCTAATTTAAGCATAAATAGAAATTTCTAATTAAGAGTTTATAATTTATATTGATTCAATAAGCATCACATAATAAATTTTCTAACGTAATCAAGATTTTCTTTGAAATCCCCACGCAAGGTCACTTCAATTCCAAATTTATGTAGGAAAGTACTTAGCAATCATGGGATTTCTCGTATACAACATCACTAAAATAATAATTGTTGGAATCTAATTTATCTACTTTAGGTGAAAAGTAATTAAAAGTTCACAAACATCATGAAAAAGTTCTCAAAAATATTCAAAACCTAGCCCAATAATTTGGTCTCTATATTTTCAAAGTACTCAAAATTGAGTACTACTATATAGTATTGGCTTGACGCATTGTTCAACCAAAGGCTGCTTAAAAAGGGAATCGTGCATTTTACTTTGCAGAAGAAATAACAAAGAAAATTATAACTTCACTTCCTATTCTCTACTTTATATGGTACCATTTAACACTTATTGGTCGATTATTTGTACAAAGTGATATCCAAGGTTATCCTATTCACAATGAAAAATAGTTTAACCTAGTAAAATGTTGAAATATCTATCTACTATGTATTAATTGTATATCTTATCAATATGTATGTACAAGCTTTAACAATGTTATCTATTATAGATAATTACTCATAATGCGACACCTATATTCTTTCACTTGATACTTGATAATGACATGGTGTGCTGTTATATTATTATAGCAGATGACACGATATGATGATTACTTTATAATATTTTTTGAGCTTTTTTAGAAAGTGGAGACATACAGTTTGTCTCGTAAAAGAGACTCTAAGGCATGTTATTAAATGATCTTACACATGTAAAATATATGACATACACAATTAATCATGGAATCTTGTGGATAATGTATTGTGGGTAAAACAAGCTAAGTAGCGTAGACATATTTTCGTATAAGTTTGTTAATGGTCGGATAACTCAGTTCATGTGTTGTTCGTGACAAACTGTGACTGCTTGTAGTGAGTAGACACATGTCATAAACAACCACCTAAGTAAAGACCGTTACAAATTAGAGATTGATTGATTTAAGAATTAAGATAAGACAACATATTGTGACAACTTTGCTAGTCAATAGTTAATGCAATTCATTATATTTTACAATTACAAAGGATGTAACTCGCCCAAACAATGCTCACAACTTGAATATTTTTTGTTTCTTATTCACTCATATACAAGTAATATTCAGTCTTCAAAAAAAAAAAAAAGTAATATTCATATGTATTTTTTTGTTGACTTTTAATGATATGATGTGTTAAGTAGTGCATTGAAAAATATTACTCCATAATTATTTATGTTATCATCTTATCGTTTACTCTCTTATAAAGCAATTTATTACAGAGTACATACTTTTTTTTAACTTCATCTTCAGTAGTTTAATCATTGGCACCCTTCTTAGATAAGTTGAGCTCATGGCAAGGTTTACCAAAAGCAAACACTAAGGTTTTTGGCTATGTTAGCTCATTAGAGACACTAAATATCATATACTGATATACTAGTCTATAATTTACTCCTTTCATCACTTATAATTTGTACGATTTTTTTTTTTATTCGAAGATTGTTCAATAAAATTCCTTGTTATGTCATTAAATTATGTAAAACTGTACTCAACTCGTGTGAAAATTTTAGTAAGAGACAGAGCAATTATCACTTAAAATAATGTTAAACAAGTCTGCCACATCGGTCACAAGTGTCCTTTATAAGTCCAAGGAGCTTTCACTATCATATGACAATTTGGAGTAGCCCAGTAACTTTACAAAGTGGACACAATTTAATTGATTCTGTTCAATAGCGATACATATCCTAACACTATTACAGTCTTTTAATATACGATAATATTTTCACTCACATGTAGATTTCATCATAGACTTAACAAATAAGGCCAAGGTAATGATTGTCGGTAAAGAAAATTGGCTATGAGCCTAGGAGCATCAGCACACGATAGGCTTATAATGTCATATAGATTGAAGATGAGCATAAAAACAAAGATTAGTACTTGGGTTGTACCAATTTCAAAATTGGTCACGTCTTTTCTTGTCTCAAAGTATCATCCTCCCAACAACTTAAATGGTGAACGTAAGAGGCAGTCTTTGTCTAGCTTTAACTAGTGATATGTGACGGAAATGTCCACCTATATTAATCATGCGCGATATTATAGATTTAACACAGAAGAAGTGATAGTTTCAATGCAAAATTTATAGTCGTCCTCGCATTCTTTCATCATACTTGTTTCGGATGAAAATAATGGGGCCTTACCGAAGGCCCGCTGAAGTGGCTGAAGACTGGTCCGGTCCAATTGATGCTGGGCCGAAGGTTTCCTGCACAACTAAAACACGTAAACTGGCCTCGGGGGTGGATCCGAGGAAGACCCCTCCGATGCCGAAGTCAAACAGTGTTTAGAGAGAAAAAGTTATGCAAGATATTTAATGCTTGAGGCTTTGTTCTGTTGTATGAATGAATGAATTGAAGGCTTTTATACCTTTGCACATGATGAGAGAGAGTAATTAGGCCTTTAAATAATCATGGGCTGACCATGGCAATTCGGACCAAAGGACTCTTGGTTGACTTGGCTTGATTGGAGGTTCGAGCCTTGACCTTGGAATATGAAGTCATTTAGTGACCAGGCCCAATAAGATAATTGGACCCAAGTACATGACTAGGCCCAATTAGATAAATTGGACCCAAACAACTTGCCCCCCAGACCCGATTTGGAACGATGACGGATCGGGTTTGAATCCGATAGGAAATGGAGGGAAGTAAATGATTTAATTAAATCAAAAGATTTAAATTCTTTGAACAGTTATTAATTAAATAACTGTAATTTGGATAATTAACAGGAAGTGGAGTGGATAGTGGGCGGTTAATCAAGAGAGAGAGTGTTTAACGGTTAATTAAGGAGGCATTTAAGAGAAATTTGAACTTTTCGACCTTTGGGATTCTCCTTCCTGGAATTATAAAGTCCACTAGTACATAATTAACCTTAAGTAACACCTAAAAAGTGGTACATAAAGTGGTAAAAATGTTATTATAGACAATAGGTAACACTTTAGTGGGTGATACATCCGCCCATGTTACCTAAGGTCTTATGTAACATTTTGGGTAGTGTATGGTAACACTTTTAAAAGTGTTACTATAAACCCACTTATGTAACAATTTTTTAATACTATTAGTATCATTTTTAAGGTGTTACTTTTTATTTCTTATGTAACACTTCCTCATTTTTAATAACACTTTTCAATAATAAAGTAACACTTTATCCGACATTATGTATCACTTTTGTGAATTAATGTAACACTTTGTTGATTATTAGGTAACATTTTTTAAATCATCTTTGACGTATAGTATCACTATATTCAACATTATCTATCAAATTTTGCAAACAAATGTAATACTTTATTAATTGATAGGTAACATTTTTTTTTTTTTTTTTGCGCCACATTATTATTATTATCAAAACCAACTTAGGGCACCCGTTTTGAACCAGTGCCTTTTTTGGGGTTGCCCATGACAGAGGTTAAGGACACCAATTCAAGGGTCTTTAAGGGCACTAGTTTTCCCCTTAATTCGGTGCCCTTTATGCCTAAAAAAATAATAATCAATAAAAAATCCATTATATATAAACTTAGGTATTTTTATTAATAAATGCTTGTGGTGTACTGTTACAATTTCATCAAACAAAAAATATTAAATTTATTTACAATGCTTAAGGCTAGGTAGAAGTAAAGAGCAACATAAGTAGCAGCAATGCTGAACTAGACCATGATCATTCACAATCTCCTCAACTCCTTCCTTCGATGCTTCCCTTTTTGCAAGTACTGGCTGTTGGGATTGGAGTCACATCCTTGATCATTACAAAGTTCGTCAAATAAAATGGAAATTAAGTTAGAAGATCAGTTAAAGGGTGAAAAAGTATCACTATAATCTTAGTCAAAGTTCAGAATGACAGCAGCAATTAAGAATAAAGAAATTTCACCTTTATAACTTCAAATGTTTTGTTAGTAGGTTGGACAAAGAGTAATAGATATAGGATTGTTATGTCCTGCCAAAAAAAAAGGAAATTAAGTTTGAAGACCAATTAATTAAAGGGTGAAAAAGTATCAAACATAACACCTTTACCAAGTCATTTACTCGAATTATGAACAAATTTTATTGCTGATATAATACAGATATAAGAGACAAGATGAATTCGAACATACTCTAGCAAGATTATAATTTTTGAATTGATCAATGGATATATAACCCAAAAACTAATCCAAAAGGAAGAGACTCCAGTTCAAGAACCACGTGACAAGCATTGATCGAGATCATACTTCAAGCCACTCTTTTGCTGTTGGGAGTGCTTAAATACCATTAATGAAGAGCTTAGATAATCATTCAAGAAAGAATGTCAGAGATAGAGGTGAGTGGAGTAAGAATAATCAAGAGAATATACTAGTGTATATTCCAAGAAGAATATCTCAATAGTGGGAGGCTTCTCTAAGCATTGCCACCAGTAAAAAAACAATTGAAACCAAGCCAGACTGGGAAAGCCCATAAAACTTCAGAGTTCAGAAACCCATATGTTAACTTGAAATAATAAATTCTAGACCGGTTAGACACAACATTGATCCAGCAGCCAACATACACCTCACAACCAACATTCAACAACCATTTATCCTAAATCAGTTTCTGTATAGAATCAATACAAGCTTACACATGCAACAATTAAATTACATAAATCATGGCTTCAAAAAAAATTATAAAATCTACAAAATCTGAATAAATATTGCTATGTTCAACAGTAGCAGGCAGGACATTTTAGATTCTAATTAATTTAACAAATCTGTTGCTAGAACATTTATGCACAAGCATATGCAAATTTGATGACCAATATAACACACTCTATAGAATACATAAGTTCTTCATAATCCATTAAATAATGCATAAATGAAATATAAAGTAGTACTAAACATAAGGTATCTTGCATAGATACATCATTGCCAAATTTACCATTGACAATATTAATAAAGCGTTAAATTCTATACTATAATCTCAAAATAATTACTACAATACACTTTGAACAAAAATCGAGCTCTTAAATAAGTGTAAAATGACTTTACCTTGTAAATAAAAGTAAGCAAATTTAGAAATAGGAGAAGCAATACAAAAGCATCTTAATGATTGGTTCTTCATTAGAAGAATAATTATCCATTAATAGGACACGAAAAGCAGCAAGCTGCTTCTTCAGTTTGTCTCATAAAACAAGCAAATGATACAAAATAGCTCCTTCTTATTCTCATCTAGTCATCTTTCCCCAAAAACAGTAGTCATAATGTCATATATATATAATCCGCCTTTTAACATTTTCGAAACCAAATTCAATCAATATTTCACAGCATCGTCACATCATTTTGTAATAGTATTATGATAATATAAAGAATGCATCACTCAAGTTCCAAATATTTAACATTCTTAAACAATTTCATCTACAACACTCAAAATTCTATAAATTAAAAAAAAAAAAAAAAAATTACAAATCAGGTTAATTTCAAAAATGTGAATCACAGAACAATAAATCAAATACTCCAAAAATTATCAAATTTCAAACGAAATATAATTAGAACAGGAGAGGAAATCTAACCGGCAACACCAGCTCCATAATGGAAATTGAAGAGTGAGAATGAAATTTAGGGATCTGTTGAGCGAAAAATTGAAAAGAGAGGGAGGGATTTCCGGCAGTAGCAACTCCATTATACGAAGACGGCGATTTCTACGGCTCGCCGTCTCTTCTTCGCCGCCGAATTGATCCCGTTAGCCGTATCATCGGTCATTTTGCGGTTTGATGGATCGATTGAGTCGGACACTAGGGTTTGGATTTGGTCGTTCTATTCTTGTTAAGAAGTTAGAGTTTGGTGAGGAGTAAGAATCTAAAGATTGGGGTAAAATTTCAGAGAGACTTTTGAGCCTCTCCATTGATTAAGGAGATGGAAAGTGTGAATAGCATAAATGGATGGAGAAAAGAGGGAAAAGTGAAAGAGAGAAGGAAGAGAGACAGAAAGATAGAGAGCTTGGAGAAAAATTGAAAGCAGAGTTAGGCAAGTTTTTTTTTTTTTTTTTTTTTTTTTTTGTATAACTGCTTTTCATACTCAAAGTGTTACATGAAAGTGTTACTCTATGTAAAGTGTTACTTTGAAGTGTTACATACAAGTGCTACCTACTATCTAAGTGTTACAAAAGTGTTACTTAAATATCTATTTATATCTTGACTTATAAAGTGTTACTACAAGGTGTTACATTAGGCCAACTTTGCAGTAGTGGTCTGATTCGCATTTCAACCTCATTTCTTCACCAACTTACACTCAAATTCTCACGCAAACCCATTTTCGCTCTGAATTTCCAGCGTACCATTTTCGAATCCAAGTTCGAGACTCAAATCCATCGCTTCCACTGATTTGACCGGCGTATTCCGGCCAATTTGAAGGTAATTTTCTCCGAGCTTTTTCGATTTTCTTGCCCTTTTTTAGGGAAATTCTTCTTCTCCCTTCTTTCCTTCTCTGAATTTAATTATGGCTCGAGAAAGGAGGCGTCAGCCGGGTCGACGGGGTCAGGCTAGGGATCCCCGTGACCGCGCCGACGTTTGGAACGGGGAACGAGCCGGTGAAGACCCGGAAAGGGGGATTCCGGCAGTTCCTTTAAACGCCGCGCCGCCTCAGTAGGACGCCGAGGCCGGCGAGGCGGAGCAACCTGAGCAGAGAGAACAGGCTGGGCAGGCTGAAGATTTGCCCCCTAGGACCTGCTTCCTGGGCATGCGGAATGGCAGGACGCCGAGGCCCAGGACGCCATGGTGAGAAATACCCCATACTCATGGTGGGTTCGGCATGCCGAAACTTACCGATTCACCGAGAAAATTGAGTTGCACTACGGCATTTTTGAAGAGGATGGGCATTGGTGCCGAATGCCCTCGCCGACTGACAGGATTCACCGTCCCCCTCCTGGGTATGTAGGGGTGTACACTCGGCAATTGAAATACGGGCTTCGGTTTCCTTTGGATCCCTTCGTCAGGGACATTTTAATAAAGTACAGGATCTCCCTGTGCCAATTAACACCCGTTAGCATTCGGTGGGTGATGACTTATCTCTGGGTGTGTCGGTTTTTTGTTGTTGAACCGAATTTGCACTGCTTCCGAAAGATGCATCAGGTAGTGCAGAACCTCAAGAGCGTGTACGGTCAACACGGGTCTTCAGGCTGGTGGCGAATAGAGAGCCGCCCCCAATATCTGACTAAGTGGCCGAACGACTCCTCGGATAAGAATTGGAGGGGTCAATGGGTCTGGGTGAGAGTTCCCGCTGATCTAGAGCATCCATATTTTTTCGGGGCTCCCCGATACCTCTCCAGGCCTGATCCAAACATGCAAGACTTGGGTCCTGAGGACCCTGATGCCACTAGCCACCCGAGTTATGAGAAAATGAGCTTCTTCGGGAAGCAGAATAACCCCGGGGGAGTTGGCCGAATGAGAACTCTCCCGGCCAGATGGCTTCCGGATAACCATTACATCTTCCAAGAGAAGATGTTGGCAGTTGTCGGCCTCAGCCGAAAGTACAGGGGCGGTAAGTATGTTCGGCTAGGACCGAGGACTTTAACTTAGTCAATTTTGATTTGTCTTTGATGCTTATTCCCTTAGTTTAACCTTCGTCTGTTCTTTTCAGAGCTGAGCGAAGCTACCTCGGGAATTGATTATAACCGGCTCGGGGTGAACGCTGAAAGGGTCATTCTAGACCGGGCTCCGGCAATCACAGCTCCGAAGAACCGTCCGCTGCATCTGCACGAAACGGGGCTTCAAATTGAAGCCGCTGCCGAATACACCAAGCAGAAGCCTTGGTGGGAGAAGCGAGATCCCCTTCGGCCTTTATTACCTGAGGAAGCACAGGCTGCTCAGACAGCAGCTGACGTATCCCGAGTAATCAACTCCTTGGAAGGAGGTGTTGGGACGTCTGGTGCTGCTGAGGGGGATATCCCTGCACCTGGTGTTCAGCCGAGGGTTCCAGTAAGTTCCTAACTTGCTTGGTTTTTTTTTTTTTTTTTACTCATACTTTGCTGCCCCCCCCCCTTTCTGCAGTCTGAGGAAGGGAGCGGAAGAAGAGAAGGAAAGGCGCCTGCTCGTTCTGAAGATCCATCTTCGTCAGAATCTGAAGAAATGGACGAGCAGCCCTTAGCAAAGAGAAGGAGGAGGTTGGCCGTGCTGGGGCCTCGGCAGTTTCAGATGGGGATGAGGCCTACCGGGGGCATCCTCATACGGGAGCCTGATGAAGGTAGACGCTCGCCGAGGGCTCCCCCTCCGCCGGAAGCTCCGCGTCCTCAAACCCCCCCTCCACCTCCCGAAACTCAAGAGATGGAGGTGGACCAAAGAACTCCTGATCCGAAGGGGGGTTCAGGGACACCCTGCTGAAGAATCTGAGAAGCCGATTGTTGAAGGCTTCTCAGATGATATTGATAGGGAGGTTGACGCTTTTCTTCATCAACCTGATCAGGGGGAGGAAGCAGAGAAGGTCGTTGTTGCTGACCCTGGTGGAGACCAACTGGGCTCCGCCGAAGGAGAAGGTCACGCTGAGCCTGAGAAGATTCAGGAGGTTCCCTCTTCTTCCTTCCCCTCATTCCAGACGCTGAACTCTGGAGATTTGGGTTTCTCGGCCCCTCGTATCACAGTCCCAGAACCTGTTTGGGAACGAATTTGGGGCCAGAACCGTGAAGGGGCTGCAGGCTACTTCGGCGACTTGACTAGCATGTCCGAAGTGGACCGAGCAAGGGTGTGGTCGCTGAAGGCCACGGCTGGGATGGGAGAATCCAGCCGAAGGGTCCCTGACCCTGCAAGAGACAACCAGCGTTTGCTGATGCAGGTACTTAACCTTTTAGTTGCTTTGCTTTCACTCAGCTCTTCTCCTCCTTTCTGGCTCTTTCCCTTTTTTATTACTTTATTTATTTCAACTGATGTGCCCCTGCAAACAGGTTGTGCACAATCAGACTCTTACTGTAGAGTTGATTGACACCCTCCAAAACAAGCTGGAGCATGCCTGGGAGGAGGCAAAAATTGCCCGGGAGGAGGCGAAGCTTGCTGAGCTGAAGCAGCAGGCTGCTGAAGAGAAGCAGCAGCAGAGCAAAGAGTATGAAAAGAGGGTTGTTGAAGCCATTCAAACCTTCTGTTCGGCTATGGAGAAGGAAGTTTTTCCCCCGCTGATGGAAGGGGAGAAATTCCTTCAGGAGCAAATGGGAGTGGACATCTCCAAATTTAAAGCTGCCATCGAGAGCCGAATTCAAGAAGGAGCTGCTGCACAAGTTGAAGTGCAGCAGAAGCTGGAAGCTCTTGAAGCCAGCAGGATGGCTGCTGAAGAGGCTCTACAGGCTAGGGATGTTCACCTTTCTGCTGCCCAAGCCGCTGCTGAGAGCCAGGACCAGAAGCTGAAGGAGTTGGAAGATCAGCTGAGAGTCAAGGGAGATGAGCTAATCTAGGCCAAAACCGAAGCTTCCGACGTCCAGCTGGAGCTTGATGAGCAGAAGACTTCTTCCTCCAAACTCTCAGAAGAGTTAGAAAAATCTAAAAAGGATTTGGAGGAGAGTCAAAAGAAGTTGGATGATGCTGAAGCCCTACTCCAAGTCCGCCTTTACACCCAAGAAGAATATGAGATGGGCTACATTAATGGGTTTAAGGTGGCTTGGAGGTTGGCTCTTCATGCTGAGCCTTCGCTGAATTGGTCCAAGTGTGCGCTTTGGGCTCAGGACCCCGAAGATCCGCACATGCTGTATGCCAGTCCTGCCGAGCATGAGATCCTTCAGGCTGAACAAGCCGAGGAGGAAGCTGAGCGGCAGGAGTTGGAGGCTGAACAGCGAGCCGCTGAAGCTCAGGCAAGGGCCCAACCTGCCTCCTCTGCTGCTGGAACCGAGACTGCCCCGGGGCTTGGCCCGGCTGATCAGCCTGATCCTCCAATTGAAGCATAGGAAATCGGGCAGTCGTCTTCAGAATCTTGCGGTTTAACATGCGCTTAACTTCAGACTCGCCGCTTTCTGAATCTCTTTTTGCCTTATCTTTTTGCTTCAGCTTGCCTTGATGTACAAACAGTTTATTTTTGTTTCTGTACGTATTTCGGCAGCTGTTATTTTCCGCTTGTGGGCGGCTGCCGATGTAGTCTTTAATTTATTTGAACTTATAGCTCACTTTCTGAGCATGAATCATTAATCTGATGTTCCTTTCTTCAACTGCTTTGCCTTATTTTGAGTGTTTTACTATTTCTGAGCTTGAGAAATTCTCGCAAAAATTTGCTAAGTACAAAAGCCTTCGGCTTTGAAGAATTCTGCTGAACATAAACTTGCACTGGTAGTGCCTCTTGCCCCCCCAGAAATCTGAAGATTCAAGTCTTTGGATTATTGAGCTGGGTTTTGTTTCTCTATCTTTTCAAATGGATATCCGAAACACAGGGCCAACTGAAGGCAATGCTTCGGATAATGGCTTTCTGGGATACAAGGCTCAGTTAAGGCAATATCCCAGACTTGTCCATGGACACATGTCTTTGGAGAACAAGTCTTACTGAAGTTTGACATCAGCTGAAAGACCAGTGTTCTTTAAAAAGACGAGTTTGTCAGCAATCTGAAACCCAGTTACCCGGAGGCGAAGGTTTCAGACGAGGCTGAATAAAAAATTTCCAACAGTTGCTGTTATCCTTGATTTTCTGTCTATCTTTAAAAAATGGATATCCGAAACACAGGGCCAACTGAAGGCAATGTTTCAGATAATGGCTTTCTGGGATACAAGGCTCAGTTAAGGCAATATCTCAGACTTGTCCATGGACTCATGTCTTTGAAGAACAAGTCTTACTGAAGTTTGACTTCAGCTGAAAGACCAGTGTTCTTTAAAAAGACGAGTTTGTCAGCAATCTGAAACCCAGTTACCCGGAGGCGAAGGTTTCAGACGAGGCTGAATAAAAACCCTTAAAGAGTAGATAGAGCAAAGAAAACTTTGAAAATAAAAAGTTGCAAATATTTATATAAATGGTGGCTCCAAGGCCTTTCATTAATTCAAAATGTACTTACAAAGATTTTTCT